GTGTCAGTACTTACAAAACAATGCTTATGCACATCCTGTCAAAGTGTTACCAAAATATGACTACTACTTATATTTTGGAAATGGTTACTTGTTGCCAGATGAGTAGATTTTTCTCTCTCCCTCTTTCTTACAGCAGTGCACGTTTTGGAAACTGGCACAAAAATAAGTCTCCAACAGAATATCGCTGTGGTCCTCGCTTGATTGTTTTTGTGGTTGGAGGGGTGTCACACTCAGAGATGCGTTCTGCTTATGAAGTCACTCGAAGCACTGATGGAAAATGGGAAGTGCTTATTGGTGAGAGAAGTTTTTAGTTGTAATTCTCAAAGCTCTTTCTGCAATAAAGTTCCCAGTTTTTTCTAATTATCAATGTTTACATTTTGTGTCTTGACAGGATCATCTCACATCTTGACTCCAACCACCTTCCTTAATGACTTGAAGGGTCTGGAATAAATTTCCAATTTATATCTTAGTCCCTAAGTAGGTAAAAGCACAAGGAATAAAGGAAAAGTTTTTCATTTGACTGGTTTCTGGTATGCTGTTTTTTTTTAATGTATTAACTTAATTTGAATATGAAGAGAACCTATAGATGTAACTGTGGAAGGAAATGGCCTATTCTATAATTCACTCTTATTTTATTGTGGATGTAGTTTTACCAGGATTAGATGCTTATGTTCTAGCGACTAGATATGTAATAAATATTTATATAGATGCATGTATTTTGATTAACCTATTACCAACCAAAAATCCTGTTTGATTTGCCAAGATGGTTACTTGTATATCACATGATGCAATTAGTGAAATTGTGACTTACTGAGATGACAGTTAAAGTAAAAGATTGAAGGCTGCTAGGTTTTTTTTTTCATATGTAGGTAATTGTATCTTAGAATCTCAACTGCTGTAATGAAATATTTTTGAAGTATTGCATGACTAATTTAATATATTGCTGGGTGTTTTCTGTCTCTATTCAATAAAAATAAAACCTTCAGATGTTTGTTTTTCCTTTAGTTCCTGGACATTTACGATGATCTGAAGTTAGCCAAAATCCTTTGAGTAATATTTTCAGTTTTTGACCATGTGAGTAAAAGTAATATAATTTCTATATTTAATAGCTTGTTCAATACTTTCTGTTTTCATAACATAGTCTATTGACATCTGCTTGGAATTTGGGAAATAAAACCTGCAAAAATGGACAGAAGGACAAAAGGTATTTTGTACACTTCACATGTCAGTTTTATTGGTCTGACAGGCCAGTATCATAATACTGATTTTAATTGCTTCCACTGGAGCAAACATCAAGTTTAAGTAAAGTGGTGGGTCAAAATGAAGAACGTGTACATCGCTCATGAAAAGAGATCATCCTTCTCTATGGTCAGGATTATGTTTTTATCCAGGATTATAAATGGTGATATTAAGAAGGGAGGGCTAGCTTGTCTCTTAATGACTGGTTAATACTCAGGACTCAGAACCACTTTACTGTGTCATGTTCAGCAAGCATTTAGAGGAGCATCGGTTGGAATCTTTTTTTGAATAGCAGTTTGTTATACATATAGTTTATTGCAATCACATTTTTACCTCCTTTTAATTTTTACAAGATGACATCTGCTGGAGTCAAGTTAAAATCGGAAGCTGCTGATACTGAGGTAAGACATCTGTGGCAATACAAGTATAATTTACTTGTGTGTTAGCGATGGTTTTTTATTAGACTCTTTCTACAAAATTCTTGCTTAAGTTTTTAGTTCAAACCTTTTTTATTTTGATTATGTTGCCACTTAATGTTTGTCTTCGACTTTCTCTTTGGAGCTGGACTGACTAATAACTGGGAGAATAACTTTTAAATCCTTGTTAGTTTTTGAATTGACTAATATCTTTTCTCCTGGCTTTTCCCATAGAATTAACCATTTTTATACTCTTTCATGCATTAGACAGTAAACAAAGAACATTTTATTTACAGCTCTCATCATTCGTTTAACTACCAGGACATAGACTAGAACATATAAAGAGTTGAATACGTGGACCTGCTTTGGTTTTGAGTTGAATTACTGACTACTACTGACTTACTCTTTTCAAAAATTGTTTCTTGCTTTTCTAGGCATCAGACAGTAAAAATGACCTTGGTGCAAACCCTTTGAGCTCTGTGACACAGAGTAGTGCAGATGTCGACAGAAAGCGTCTAGTGGCTTCTGGAAATCAGTTACAAGTTCCTTCTCAGTGTCAACGCTCCAATTCTTTAAGGGTCTGTTCTAATAAATGATTAGTGTAAATATATTAAATTTCCACTATTCTTCTTTAATGTTGCATAATTGAATGTTCATATTGACATTTTCCCCCCAATCTTTTCACATAAATAAAAAAGGAAGAATCACCTGAAGAACAGCAAAAGTTTCTCGGTATGATCGCTCATGGCCAGCGCGGACGTATAGAAGACCAGCGCTGCGTTTTGAGTCCTAGCGCAGGTACTCCCCGTCTACCCAAACTTTCAATCCTTTCTCAAATACATGAAACAATACTGAAAAAGAGCAAAGCCTTTCAATATTAATTTTAATACAGATATATAGATACACATATATGACGGTGTTTAGAAAAACTGTTTCTGTTTAATTTTATCATCAGATCGGGATTTTTTTTTAAACCTTTTGACACAAGCTCAAAGTGGAAGGCTGGATGACCAGCGAGTATCACTTTCATCATTACCAGTATCACAGAATGAAAATGGTGACAATAAAGGAGACTCAAGCTGCTTGTTTCAGATGGTCTCAAAAGTCCAGGTTAGTTACTTTTTGCTTTCTGTGAAAAAAATATTTTCACCATTGTTATTAAAAAATCACCACCACATGTTCTCATTGTTTGGACAGAGTATTACCCAACAGGTTTAATGGTGTTTGTTTATTTTATTTTATTTTTTTAAAGGAAAATCTATGTTTTTATTGTGGCTATGAAACCTAAAATTCTGTCAAATTTTTTAAAAAATAATTCCTGCTGTAACTTCAGGGTTCTAGGATGGATGACCAAAGGTGTTGCCTGCCTCAGCATCAAAGCCCACAGGCCCTTATTTATGAAAATAATACAAAATTATCACCTGCTTTGGGTCCAGAGCGCTCAGCCTCCTTCAGCACAAACTCGCATGTAAATCCAAAGGCTAAAGAGAAACAGCGAAGTGCGTTAAATGTTAATCCTCAAGGATTGCCCAGTTCCAAACTCACTCTAAGCACAATGCCACAAGGTCAGAGCCAGAATTCTTCTTTGACTTAATAACCCTTTTTGATCAGATATGTTGATGTAATCGAGTACATGTTTAATGTTAAAATCTGGGTTTCATTTTTTCTTTACTAGATGATGAAAAACTCTTCAGTTTGGTCGCAAACTCCCAGGCAAGACGACTCGATGACCAGCGTATGTTTCTTCCATCATTACCAGGAATACAGAACGGAGGCACCACATCAACAGTAACTCCTGCTGAAATGGATGCAAGATATTTATGCTATTTAGTTTCAAGAGTCCAGGTTGGCGACACATGTTTGATCAATTGAAGTTATGTGTTTCACATATATTTGCCTTTTTACTGGCAAATAATATGCATTATAGTCTAGATTTAACATTTATTTTTAAATATATTTTCCTATTATAGGGCTCAAGGATGGATGAACAAAGATGCTCAGCACCCCAAATCCTAAAAAATTTGAACACCCCTTCAACTGAGTGCAAAAACCTAATAAATGATGCATCTGATAAACCTCCTGAGAGTTCAGCTATCTTTAATGCTCCTCAACACTGGCAGGTGAGAGACCTTTTTGCAAAATATATTGCTTATAGTTTTAGCAATAGATCCGTATTTTGTTCTGAAGCAATGACAAAACAGAACAGGTCTCTGATCTGTTGACATCAACAGGTCAGGGGTCAGATAAGAGGCCTATGCTTTTTCTTGTCTTTTCCTAATATAGGATTTATCTGCAGCTGAGCAGGAGCAATTTTTTGATATGATAAGACATTCTCAAAGTGCGCGAATGGAAGACCAACGATGCTATTTACAACCTTGCCGCAGTACAGCTACCACTCCAGTGCACAATGGCGGCCCTTTGAATAATGGGCTCATGGGTAAGAAAAACACACAGGACAAAATATTTCAAATCTAATTATATCTTTGAGATGTCAGAAATAACTTAAATGTTCTCAATAGGGTCAAAACCTATTGCATTCGTCAACAGTAAGAACCCCAGTCAGGCATTGTTACAAGATCAACATTCTCCAGGGACAAGTCGAATATCTGAAGCAAAGAAAAATGTAAGAAATCCAAATACTGGTTTCCCAGTATGATGCAAGTTGGGTATAAATTATTGGATAGGTAAACTAAAAAATGGCAAAGGTTGCTAAATGAAATTTATGATTTCTTTGTTTTTGTTTCACAAAATTTAACAGCTCAGCTTTATAGCTATACATTACGAGTTTATACAGTTTTCTTTGTATATAAAAATAATGTATTTCATCAATTGTTTTATGTCAAGAAGCATATTGACCCATTATTTTAAAAGCTGTATTTGTATTTGTTAGTATTTAGCAGTGTCTATAAACTAATGTTTTAATGGTACAGTATATGACTAGAATTTTGTGGAATTTATTCCTTCCCTAGGCATCACCACCATATATTATTGTGAATGAAGGAACACCTGCTACATCAAGGAAGTCCTTTCGCAGGAGTTCCTCTCAGCCCCAAATTTTTGATGCAGAATCAAGCTCTACTTTGGCCTTACCCAAGTCTGCTTCATTTACTCCTGAGACTGAATTCAGGATGGATCAAAACTCTCAGGCACAGGTAGAAACAAAACTGGAGATACAACTGAATTTTAATTTTTCTAGAAATATAGAGTGATAGACATTTATCAGAGTCATATGAACTGGTCAAAATCAGGATGCAGCAAATGAATTTATGGCAGAATTAATTTCAGCTATTATTTTTGTGTTGATGTTTTTGCTTTCTCCAATAGATGACATTGAAAGTATCACTGAGTGTAACACCACAGCCAGTAAGTGCCACCACAAACTATGAATGTTTTGACTTTGCACAAATAAAAAAAAAATCCTGAGGCACTTCTTTGTCTTCTTGTCTGTTTCAGGGAATAAAGAATGACTATCAAGTACCAGAAGTCTTTCTTACTCTTGGTGCTCCAGGAGACAACGTTGTGATTCCTCTTAGTCCAGTATTTGGAAGACCACTATCTTTGGACTTAAACCTAGTCCCCAAAAAAGATGCTAAATCTAGGCATAACTCTCCAAGAATGGCAAGTCCAAGGAAAGCACATTCACGGCCATCATCTCCCTACCGGGAAGAAGAGCGTCCTATAACTGCAGGCCCAAATCAGAAGGAGAAACTTTTGACCTGTTCTGTCAGTCCAAATAAAGAATGCTTCTTTATGAAAAAGAACATACACTCTGCCCAGATGCACAAAGGGACAGATCTAGGAAGAGAGAAATGTCAAGGTGTTCATAAAAAAGGAAGAGAGAGAGTAGAGCAAGGAAAGGGAGTTGGAAAGAAAGATAATAAATAAGTCTGATTGTACACTATCTGTACATAAAAATAATAGTTAAATATAAAATGTCAGAAAAAAAGTTACACTTTGAATGTAGTTTTTTTTTCAAGGGTTTGTTGGCTCCACTGCCCTTTATTTGAAAGCAGGTCAACAGGAAGGAGGGTAATGAGAGGGAGAAGGACGACATGCAGCAAATGTTGCCTGTCCAGGAATTGAACTACCACCACGAGTACTAGGGCCTCCATACGTGGGTCATGCTTTGTCCCTGTGCCACCACAGCACCCCCTAGAATGTAGTTTTTGTTTGCTTTGTCTTTAAATGGTCAAATAATGTACAAGTCTTAAATTATTTATTTTAGGGGTGCTGTGGCGGTGCAGCGGTTAAGCACAACACACATACAGGGGCCTTAGCTCTCAGCATGGCTGTTGCAGGTTCAATTGCTAGCCTGGTGACCCTAGCCACATGTCTTCCCCCTTCTCTCATTTCCCACTTTCCTGTCAATTCACTGTCAAATAAAGGCTGCTAGAACCATTAAAACCTTATTTATTTTTTTTAATATTGATTTTATGAGATGTTTGTAATTAAAAACTTATGTAAAGTATATAAGTCTATATGTATGTGTTTGTTGTAGCTTGTCTTTTGAGTTGTAGTGTAGAAATCATTGTTTTTCTGCCATGTTTTCACTGTAAACAAGTACATTTTCCTTTTTTGTATATTAAAGGAATAAAAACGGTTGTGACATGTTGAAAGTTAAATGACTACATCAAAAAAAAAAAAAAAATTAAAACTTGTGAAAAACAAACTTGGTACATTTTTGTTGTTTGAAATAAATGCGAAATTTGCCACAGCCAGTAGTGCAAAAGAAGTGACCCGTGATTATATTTCAGTGAAAATGAGAATATTTTTAGCGAGTTTTACTTGCATTATAATTTTGATGGATCAAGTTTTGAATGTATTGATCTGTACTTGCATAGCGCTTTATCAAGTTCAGACGTTCACAAAGCGCTTAGTAACTACATTTATTCGTTGACCCATTAAAGCACAAGCCTGAGGAAATATTCGGAAAATTCCAAGGGCACCTGATCGAAAGGGGGTCCCCACAAAAAAGGAAAAACGTTTATATAAGACTTTTTTTTTTTTTTTTTTTTTTACATGTTTGTTATTACAAGCCAGATAATTTTTACAGTAAACCAAACAATTTTTGGTAGTAAAAATTAAATGATACCACTCTCAAACCAAGAAGCAAACATTCATATTTACTGAACCACCCCCCTGCATCTGCATGAAATGGTTTGTTCCTGCTTAGCGCTCTTGACGCTAACGGTATTTAGCAACAGACGACAATAACGATTGTGACCAAGAAAAGTCGGGTTTTTGAAAAAGAAAAGAGGAAAAAAGAGAAGACTGAAAAGAAAGGGTGCTAATTTGTAACCCACCTTTTCTCCATGACAGTTTGGTAGACTGTAGTGAGTGATTATCAACCTTATAGCTTAGTTAGCTAAAAGGTAACTAAGTTTTTAGCTAACTAAGCTAAAAGCTTAAGCCCCTTTCGTGCTGCAAGGCCCGCCACGGACCTTGCAGTGTGAAAGGGGCTTTAGTTACCTGTTAGCCTATATTTCACCACCATTTAATCAGTGAAGGAAAAATATTTACCAATATATTCATATACTTAACTTGTCCCTGTAACTTTTACCAATTTAACAGATGAGTCAGTCAGCTGCAGACCTAACATCCCATACCAGCATAACTCCTCCTCCCTGTCCCGTTGAAAAAGGTGAGCAACACTGTGTTCAATGGCATGCTAGTTGGCATCATTCCAGGGAGTCTATGGGGATTCTCTGTCTCTTTGCTCTTTTTACAATTGCAGATCAAAACTGAAATATTTGTTGCTGACAGAAATTCAAAAAATCTTTGTAAAATGAAAATATACATCCACCACCTGTCTGGAATGGAGGCTGAGCGGTTTGAACAGCTAGTATCCTATGTGAACTTTACAGATAATTCACAGATGCTGCCACTTTTCCTCCTAACTTATTTCTTCTCGTTCTTTTTAAATGAAATTAACCAAATTTAACTATGTAGCATTTTCTGAGAAGTCTGTGTTACTGTATGTGGTGGTGAGGCAAAGTTTCTTAGAAAGAGTTTCCAACAGTGGAGCTCAAAATAGTTGATTTTGTCCAAACTTTGCATATAACTCCATGGCATAGGTTTCACATTATATATTTAATATGGTAATGGTTGGCGGAAGTGGAGGGGGCCTATTGACAAAAGTGTGAAAATAGATATGTTGTAATGTTTAAGGATCTGAGTTTTTTTTATTTTATTTGAATTACACTAGGTAAGGTAAGGTCATTTTATTTATATAACACATTTTCAGCAACAAGGAAATTCAAAGTGCTTGATCACTCATTAAGCTGAATGATCTCAATGTTGAATGTTTTTAATGTCTTTTGCTTTTAACAAGAATAGCAAGTTTATTCACTCTGGAGGACATAGTCCTGCGAAAATCTTGCATCTTCATAGATGTAAGATTTTCACTTGTAGTTTGCTAGTTGTTACCTGTTCATTGTTAAAACTTCACATATGTCAGATGGCCATTGCAGCATGTGTTTTAAGGTATTTTATTTAGTGGCTTAGAAAAAAGTTAGCCAAGACAATTTTTCAAAAGTGAAAAAAATTCAATTAATATATCTTCAGCACACTTATTAGAATGTAAAAATCTAATCTGACAATGCATTTATTCAATAGAAAATAGGGGTACAATTCATGTTCTTTCCTGTCATCTCAGTGACAAATCGTCCATTGTTTTAGGCCTCCATGGTTTTCTGAGTGGAGTTTTCCAGCATTGGTTTTCTTTGCATACTTTCTTTTCCACTCTATCCAAAAACATCCACATTAGGTTAAGTAGAGACTCCATTAACCTTAAATGTGAACGTGTATATTGATAGATTTGTGTCTTGTGTGATACTATTTTGATCTGTCACCTGATGACAGTTGCTATGAGCGCACCCGCCCCATGACTGACAGGACAAAGCAGGTTTGGAAAACGGATGACTGGATTTAGAGTGTTTCATTAGCACACTGTCACCTAAATGTCTCAATCATAAGCCTGTCTGGCTTAATCCTCTTCAGTGAGGATAAATAGCTAATTTAATATACCATTATCCAGGTTGAGATTTTAGGGGACCATTCAAATGTCACAGCTATACAGTTGCAGTGGATGTAAATCTTTCAGCTGTCTGAAATAAAATAGGCCTGCAAACCATTCCGTACAAGTTGAGGAAGGATAATGTATCATCTTGGAATGGAGAGGAAGAACAGTTGCCTTCTAGGTTGGGCTGACACCCAAAATAAGAGTTGTGCCAGTACACAAGATTTTTAAGATGCTGCAGTTGTAACAGTATCATGAATGATGACTGAATTCAAGGTTTGGATAGTAAAAACAAATTAAAAACAACTCTGAAAAAGAAACCACTCCTTTGTACTTACTTTAATTCACAATTTAGGATAGACTGAAGTAAAGTTGTCTTTTGTAATATAGTATTTTTACCTAAATATCTGAAAATGTCATCAATGCTATCTCAACACAGAGCTGGGCCATGATAGAAATGGATCTGTCATAACAAGAAATAAATAAATAAATAAAAAATTTTTTTTTTAAACACAAAGTATATGTTCCATATGGTAAAATTTTAAAAATAGGTTGCTAGTTTTTTTTTTAAGTCTTATGTCCTTGACTGTTAAATTAATATTATTTTAATCATTCTCTTGATTAGCATGTCATAATGCAGGTGAAAAAACAAGCATCTGTTTTTTAAAGTGCAGATGGGAATAGACAGATGATTCTGAGTAACCTTCTTCACATGATATTTTTAAGAATGAGCTTGTGTACCAAGGTGTTAAACTGCGATAAAATATGAGAAACATGTCTTCTGAAGAGGAGCCTGAGACGAAAGTGTTAAATTTCACTTTGACAGGTACACTGAGAACCTGAGGAAACCTCTTTTAGACCTGACAAATTCCTAGCCTGCAGCTAGTTACTATGTTAAAACAAAATCTATTTCACTTTAACATAATCTTATCTGTAGTTTTTTTTTTTTTAACATTACATGTTACAGGAATAAATGTAGTTTTATGATATTGCTTTCATAAATTGAACTATCCAAAGAGATACTACTAACATTTCTCATGGCCTTTGCTGTTATGTACAACTTAGCAAAGTAATTAAAGTAGGGTTATATTGAATGTGCACAGGATGGTGTTCTGGAAGAAAGGGCAACCACTGTTACATGATACTGGCTAAGGCAGAAATTGCCTTTAAGCCAAATGCTTTGATGGTCCCTCTTCGACAGTTGTCTTTAAGAGTGCTTAAGCCGATGCCTAAAATATCTTGGCAAACTGATCCATGACTTCTTAGTCTGAAGTGTTTATTTGAATGAGTCCAGCAACTGCTTCTGTGCTTCTTGCAGTGCCATGAACATGTTCTGGAAGTTGAAACAAGCCTTCATTGACAGCAGGGATAATTATCCTGCTACATTCACAAGCCATTTTAAATTTTGCCAAGCACCTTTTAATGCATTGTTCAAAATGCTTAAGTCATAGGAGCGGTTTCATATTGAAGGAAAAGAACAATCAATTCTTTAAAAAGAAGAGCTCTAAAGATGGAACAAAAGTTCCTTATTTGGCCCAAATTTAGTATAAACAAACACACAAAAAAACAAAACAAAAGCAAGGTGAATAGAATACTTTATTTTGCAGATGTTACAACATAATTTTCATATTTTATGAAGTCTGTTGAGTGGTCCATCAGATGTTTTTTTTCTTACTCAGCAGCATCAGACTGAAATGAGAAAAGAAAAAAGAATGATGTTTATTTGACAATATTCATATCAGTTTACAACACTTGGGCCATTACTTGTATGTGGCTGACATGGCCTTTGATGTGGGCCAGGCTACTTTTCAAATAAACCAGTCAACACTGTATGAATGGGCTCTGTTGGCAACAAGATCTGGTCATAAATTTAGAGCACAGTTGGGATTCCCATTGAGTTATAGTGACTTCCACATTGCTTAACTCTCAGAGCACTTAAGCCAACAAGCAGCTAGAAGTGCAGTAGCTGAAGTCCTGCAATGACTACTGGATTACAATAAGCCAATTGTCATTCCAGAACAGTGTCTCACTTTTCCAGGCATTCACTGACTCAATAAGCCTCAATAAGCAATAACATAAAGTAAAACATTAGCATGTTAACATTTTATTGCTTGTAAATCATGGTGATATGTAGGATAATTCTTTATAATAAAAATGTGAACACTACATACTACTTCAGGTGTCCTGAAAAAAGTCATATTGAGCTATATTGTCCTGTTAGCCGAATTCCACTCACTGAGTTATATTGACATATTGTAGATTATTGCAATATGTCACAATATGGTTCTAATGTGTAATTAACTGAGAGTATTGTCCAAATAGGTACCTTTCCAACATCACGGCTCTTGGCTCTGAGCTTGTTGACCTGAGACTCAGCGATGTCAGCACGCTCCTGAGCCTCCTCCATCTCATGCTGGACTTTCCTGAGTCTGGACATGTGGGTGTTGGCCTGCTCCTCCTAAAAAATAAAATTAAATGATTCATAAACAGTTTTCCACAAACAATTATTGATTAGGTTTTTGGCTCAGTAATAGAAATATTAGCTGTTCAAGTATTTTACTTACAGCCTTCTCGGCCTGTCTCTTGTAAGCCTTTACTTTGAGCTGCAGCTTGTCCACCAGACCCTGAAGTCTGGTGATGTTCTTCTTATCCTCCTCAGTCTGCAGTCATTGTAGATTGTCACTCAAATTTTTTTTCTGTTTTTAAAACTGGTAATTTGATAAATTGGAAGTAAAAAAAAAAAAAAATACCTGGTAGGTCAGCTCATTAACTCTCCTCTCATATTTGCGGACTCCTTTAACAGCATCAGCTCCGCGTTTCTTCTCGGCTTCAACTTCAGTTTCCAGTTCACGCACCTATTTTGTGAAAATAAAATATTTATATTTTACAAAAGTACAGAATAGGAGCCATTATGAGACCCATATATAGTTTTTTTTTATTTTTCTTAAATTGAGATATTAAAAAGCTATTACAGTTCATACCCTCTGCTCCAGTTTCTGGAGCTGCTTCTTGCCACCCTTCATGGCGAGGTTCTCAGCCTCATCCAGCCGGTGCTGCAGGTCCTTGACTGTAACCTCGAGGTTCTTCTTCATCCTCTCCAGGTGAGCACTGGTGTCCTGCTCCTTCTTCAGCTCTTCAGCCATCATGGCAGCCTGAAAAAATGGGTGTTAAACAGCAATATTTGAACACTGGAAAAATTCAACTTGTGTTTGTTGAGACACCAATTTATGTAGATGTTATGTAATAAAAAGGGGTTGCAATTAGATTATTTTTGATATTTAGACATGGTCTCCAGTTGGTCCAGAGCCTCTTCATAGGAGTTCTTCCAGCTGTCACTTCCATTGCTTGGCTGATCATTGGGAAGTCGTAGGGGTTGGTGGTGATCAGCAGAGCATCTGAAACAATAGAAACAAATCATTCTAGCTACTTTGTCTTACAAGTTGCACTTTTCTACATTCAAATTTCAAGTATTTGATCATTTACCAATGAGCTCAGGCTTGTGGCCTGTCATAAGCTGATAGAAGATATGGTAGCTCCTCTCAGCAGACAGCTGGAAGGTGACACGGGACTTCTCCAGCAGATCTAAGAATTACATACATATAAGTAAGCACTTTGATAAGGAAATCATGGTACAGATTATAAATTAATAATAGATAACACTGATTACATCATATGTTTTACTTACATGTTTCAATATCAGCTGAGGCCAGCTTTCCACTTGTACCAAAGTGGATCCTGATGAATTTACCCTAAGCAAAATTAATAGCCTCTATCGGAAATCAACAATTAACTATCAATGAACATTTAAGCATTGTCTTAGCTTACAAAACGGGAAGAGTTGTCATTCCTCACAGTCTTGGCATTACCATAAGCCTCTAGCAGAGGGTTAGCAGCAACAATTTGGTCCTCAAGGGAGCCCTGCACATTGACATTTGTAACTATTTTTGCAATGTGTACCTAAGTATACGCAGTTGAAACCTGTTTCTTCTTTTAACACATAATCACCTGGATTTTTCCAGAGCTTTGCTGCGCTTGGTCCTTTTTGCTACCCAATGCTGCAATAGTTGCAAAGTACTGGATGACACGCTTGGTGTTGACAGTCTTGCCAGCACTGGATTCTCCGCTGAGATACAAGAGACATGTTTTGCCTATCAACTTCATTTTTGTACCTTTTGTAAAATTTAGTTTGTGCAACACTCACGTAATCAGGACAGACTGGTTCTCACGATCTGCAATATACACCATAATACTTTAGTAGCTGGAGTAAGTTCATGTCAACGTAAGTATGTTCTTTCTTTCAATTTCTTTTGGGAAAACACTTTAGTCTTTGCTTTACCTGTGAGCATGAACTGATAGCCATTGTCAGAGATGGAGAAGATGTGGGGTGGAGCCTCAATCCTCTTCTTGCCTCTGTATCCTGCTACAACAACAGCATCATACACAGGCAGCCACTTGTAGGGATTTACGACCACACAGAACAACCCGGAGTAGGTCTGTTGTAGTAGAAGACACAAAGAATTTTTCACCAAGCATTGCAGAGAGATATTTAAATGTTATCATTACCCTTGGTACGAAAACAAACTCACGTAGATCATCCAGGATGCAAAACGATCTTTCAGGTTGTACAACACACAAGGCTCGTTGAGGTGGGTCATCATTGCCATGTCCTCAATTTTGTCAAACTTTGGAGGATTCCTGGGATGGATATCGTCCTCTTTGATGGTTACCGTCTTCAATAAAAATAGTTGTTTTGCTTGAATCTTATGTAAGAAGGTGGCAACAAATGTTAAACAAAAATAATCTCTAGTGAAATAAAACTTCTCACCTTTCCTCCGTCAGTCTCGACTGTGGCTTTGCCACTCTCCTTCTTGATGAGTTTACACTTGACGTACAGGTCAGCTTCATTCACCACAAAATAGGCAGTTTTGGCATCAAAAGGAGTACTCTGAGCCTCAATCCTCTCCCTTTCTGACTTCCGGAGGTAAATTGCCGCCGGGCCATACTGCTCCATTTCAGCATCTGTGCTCATGGTGGCACTTTGGTGGAACCTAAAAGTTTACATAAGTTCTTTCATTAGTTTTTTTAAAATTTTTTAAGAATGCCTCTTTTGAAGGGATCTACTTACCTTACCACAGGATCCTGACTGAAAATTACAGATGTCTTGCGTAAACTCAAAGAAGCTATAAATATAGAAAACAACCCAAATTAAAATGTTTTATACTGGCTAACATGTACGTTATTTACATTATTAAACATTTCTCTAGTCTCCAATATATTTAACTAAAACTTTGCAAACCTGAAAAATTGCAAATATACATTATACATAATTGACTGTTCTCACCTGAGTCAGATGCCTGCCAGTTGGCTCAGGCATTTAGAGTGGCCACTTATATATGCTCAAGTGTGTCTACTCGGCACAAGGGGCTTGCTCAGTTTGGTAAAGTGCAAAATACTCCTCACCTCTTTGTTTGGCAGTGATGTCCCTATTTTGTTTGTAGGGATAGTCATAATCTTCATGTGCAATGGTTTAATGTTTTTCTGTTGGTACAAAAAAAGAGAAGAATCAGGTTTTTTTTATTTATATAAAAATAAATATTAGTAAATTCAATGAAATTAATAATGTGTACAGCATTACCACTAACACTTAAAAGCATCTTTACACATTTAGATTTTTATTGACAGCTTAAAAAACAAGTCCCAGTTTACAAAAGCTTAATAACAAAAGCACCACTAGAATTTATTTGCATAACTTTGTAAAAATTTCCAAATTGTAAACATTGGGTCTGTAATTGTGTCATAAATATTTACAAGGTCTTTTATGTTCACAGTGTTTATAATGCAACATAGCAGGAGTGCACTGCATGGTTTGTAAAGTGTTTTGCCCATTAACCGCCATGATTTATTTAGGCTCAAATTTCAGTTCACACACTTTATGATGTGCGCTTGTCTCCATTTGATTTTAATATCATAGCCAGTGCAGAGTCTCAAGTAGTCAGAAGCGTCAGAATTTCCCCGGTGTATGGTTGCAGGGTGCGCATGCCTCAGATATCTAGTACTAATTTCACACACAGCTATTTCCATCAGTGGTCAGGGAATCCTGGAAGAGAAACTGGAGAAGAAATGCCAACTCAGTTATTAGCATGAATAACAAGCAATGGAAAGAAATGCTTCAACATAGCTGTAGGTTTTCCTTTTTAGAATTGAAAAAGTGTGACTAACATTACACTTGAGGGCAAATCATGATGATATATTCAAAGAGGGTAGTGAGCGAATTTTTAATGAGCTTTTGACAATTTGAATTAGATAGTAAGTGGCATAAAATTCTCCATTTCAAATTGAGATCACAATATATTTTTATAATTGCTAGCAGTGAACAGGCATTTGATTGTACTTGCCAAAAGCGAGAAACTATATAAGTTACCTGATTTGAGTTTTATTAATCTCAATTTCTTAGCTGAACACATGCATTTAACGTTCCTCATTGTGCACCTTGTTACACATGTAAAAATGTAGCTCTTAATTCCTCTGACCACATTGCACCAGGTTGTTAAAACACCTTCAGAGAGGAACACTACCCAGACAAAATGCAATGGTCAAGCTTGTAATTTTGTCAAAGCCAGGAGAATTATAAGTGAGAATTCTTTGCATCATAGCATCCATTTGTTATGATTTTCACCTGGTTTTTGTGAAGAACTTAGAAACTGAACATATTCAGAAATATTTTCTTAACTGTGGAATAAACCATTTGAGATTCTTTTGATTAGTAACTTATTTTTTATGGCAGTTAATGTGTAATGAAACCTTTCAAAATTGGCAAAGTTTTTTAATTTGTTGACTTAACATTTTCCCCAAGAGGGTAGGACTACATGGACAAAAGTGGAAAGACATGCAAAAGCCAAGATCACATGTCAGAGTGAATCCACTTTGGAGCCTCCAAAAGTCTGATGTTGCCTCCAGTGAGATGCCGCGTATAACTCTTGTTGTTCAGCTTAAAATGCTCAATTCTTTATAAGCTTCTATCATTTTTAAGTTCTTTTTTATTCCAGCAAGTAAATTGTGCTCCTAACAGAAATGTCTAGAGATGTAAATAAGCATAAAAACCCTTGAATCTATAAATTTGGATTGGTAACTGCAAGATGTGCAACAAATATTTGAAGGTTGGCAATTGCACTTTGACAGCAAATCAAAATAAAATCAAATCTAAATGTATTTGTATTTCACCTTTCAGCAACAGAACATTTCAAAGTGCTTTACATCATAAACACACACAGACACACGCACACAACAGCATTGTTGAGGACACTCTCTACAGCTATTCCTTGAGCCAACTTTTTTGTGTATCATTTGTTCTTTTTTCATTCATTATTTTTAGTATTTTGCTCTAAATTTGAGATTCAGTGGATGACAGTTTAAAATTTGGTTGACCAAAAATCATGTTGTTCTACAAAGTAGTAGTAAACTGAATTGTACTCATCTTTCATTTAGTTTCATCATTCCACTAAATTTTATGCTGCAATTATGTAAATTTGAGTTTTTCTAAAACTTAAACAGACACAATCTGACAAGCGGTGATAGTTTGAAGTAATTTTCTTTTGTTTAACATAATAATTTCATAGGAGTCTTGCAAAAAGTAAATGTGTTATCTTCAACCATGTGGCTGTATAGTTTTGCTTAATTACAGTACTGTTAGACAGACTCCCCGTCTAACAGTAGAATGAGTAACCGAAAATACTCTTTGAACATGTTACTCCTGAGAAAAAACATTTTTAGTATTCATCTGATGTTAATTTTCTATGTCAAGAAAATGCACTCCAATACACAACATGATAGTGCTTAGTTTTTATTTAAGTATTACAGTGGAAAAAGAATTCAACAGTTGGTTCATATTTTATGAACTCTGTTGAAAAGCTTGATGAAGGCCTGGTCTCTTATTCAGCAGAATCGCTCTGAAAAACAAGGAAAAATGGACATTAAATGACTTTAAATTAAATGGTTTGAAGAGCTGATGGAGCTTGTCATAAAGAAAAGTATGAAGTTTCACTTATATCCTGACACATTTTGATTTTCATGCATAGTATAAAATAAAATCAGCATGTGATTGCATTAGGTTTTGTAGTATATTTCGAAGGGAGATGGGAAGGAAAATGTTACCTTTCCAGCATCACGGCTCTTGGCTCTGAGCTTGTTGACCTGAGACTCAGCGATGTCAGCACGCTCCTGAGCCTCCTCCATCTCATGCTGGACCTTCCTGAGCTTGGACATGTGGGTGTTGGCTTGTTCCTCCTGAAAGTTTTGAAATTGCAATTATTTAGTTCACATAAATGTAAAAAGAATGCTTTGCAATGTTCTATCTTAAAGGAAACATTATTTGTCTGATGACAGACAACCACTTACCGCCTCCTCAGCCTGTCTCTTGTAGGCCTTCACTTTGAGCTGCAGCTTGTCCACTAGGTCCTGAAGTCTTGCCAGATTCTTTTTGTCCTCCTCGGTCTACAGACATAAACGAAATGTTTGTAAAGACTTATTGTAAACATGACAAATAGTATACAGGGAAATAGGAATGTTATTTGGTATTAGAGGTACTTAGTAAGTGTTTAGAAAACACAGAAGATAAAATAGTCACCTGGTAGGTCAGCTCCTTAACTCTCCTCTCATATTTGCGGACTCCTTTAACAGCATCGGCTCCACGTCTCTGCTCACTTTCAACTTCAGTTTCTAGTTCACGAACCTGTTTAAAGATGTTGAAAAAGGACACAATTCAATATTACTATAATTATATATTACAATTATACTATGTGCATTACAGCAAAGATTGTTCATACCCTCTGCTCCAGTTTCTGGAGCTGCTTCTTGCCACCCTTCATGGCGAGGTTCTCAGCCTCATCCAGCCGGTGCTGCAGGTCCTTGACTGTAACCTCCAGGTTCTTCTTCATCCTCTCCAGGTGAGCACTGGTGTCCTGCTCCTTCTTCAGCTCTTCAGCCATCATGGCAGCCTGAAAAAATGGGTGTTAAGCAGCAATATTTGAACACTGGAAAAATTTTACTTGTGTTTGTTGTGACAGCAATTTATGTAGATGTTATGTAATAAAAAGGGGTTGCAATTAGATTATTTTTGATATTTAGACTGACATCAGTGATAGCCTTTTTGGCCTTGTCCTCAGCGTTTCTGGCTTCCTGAACTGCATCGTCCACCTCACCCTGAACCTGGACCAGATCACTTTCCAACTTCTTCTTGGTGTTCAGAAGGCTGGTGTTCTGAAAGTTAATCGGAATGATACAATTTAGAAGTGTGGCTTGCATGACTTGGAAAGGCCTAGTTTCTTGTGAATAACTAAAACCCAACCTGAGAGTGCAGCAGTCCAACACGCTCACTGGCATCAACCAACTCCTGCTCGGCCACTTTACGTGATCTCTCTGTTTGCTCCAGAGCGGCTCTCAGCTCCTCAATCTCAGCTACCATCAGACCGTTCCTGCGCTCCACCATGGCCACCTGCTCCTTCATGTCCTCCTGTCCTCTGACAGCATCATCAAGGTGCAGTTGGGCATCCTAACAGCAATATAAATTTGGATGTCAGAGTGGTTTCCCTCTAAAAGTCTTCTAATTTTTGTTTAATAACAAACTCACCTTGAGTTGTCCCTGGACATTCCTCAGTTGTTTCTGGGCCTCGGCAGCCTGTCTGTTGGCGTGGCTCAGCTGGATCTCCATCTCGTTCAGGTCTCCCTCCATCTTCTTCTTGACTCTCAGGGCATCATTCCTGCTCCTGACTTCAGCATCCAGAGTGCTCTGCATGGAGTCAATCACCCTCTGGCTGTTTCTCTTGATCTGCTCCATTTCTTCATCCTTCTCTGCCAGCTTCCTGTCAATCTCGCTCTTGACCTGGTTGAGCTCCAGCTGGACGCGGAGAATCTTAGACTCTTCATGCTCCAGGGTGCCCTTGAAAGGTCAAGCATATAACAAGGTTAGATGACAGACATATAAAGGTATGAGAGTATGCATATGTAGATGTATTTTATAAATTGTTGTTCATTTGACGAGAAAAGTTTTACCTCGGCTTCTTCCAGTGCAGCCTGAATTTCAGACTTCTCAGTCTCCACGCTCTTTTTAGCTTTCTCCAGCTCATGGATGCTCTTACCAGTCTCACCAATCTGTTCAGTCAGATCTGAGATCTCCTCTGCAATGAAAAGTAAATAAAAAAAATGAAGATATGTCGTAGAAATCTGCCAAATATAGACTTTTAAGAAATTTCTGAATTAATCATTCTCTATTAAGTTTATCAATAGAGAATTGATAACACTAATGGAGGCTGAAGCATAAAAATGATCTGTGTCTCACTAATTTTGGAGTTGCTCAACTCCTTGAATAATCAGGAATTACGTACGCTGCAGGTTCTTGTTCTCTCTCTTCATGGTCTCCAGTTGGTCCAGAGCCTCTTCATAGGAGTTCTTCATCTTGAACAGCTCAGTGCTCAGGGAGCGAGCCTCCTTTTGGGCTCCTTCCAGCTCAGCCTGGCTCTCCTCATACTTCTGCTTCCACTCAGCAAGAACCTACATTTGTATGGATAGAGCAATTGATTTAAGTACAATCTTAAGTACAATGTCTTGCTTTGGGTAAAGATAATTTTAGGTTCAAGAACAGTACCTTGTCAAAGTTCCTCTGCTTCTTGTCAAGGTTGGCAGCCAGAGAATTAGCTCTCTCCACATCAATCATGAGGTCCTCCACCTCACCCTGGAGCCTCTGTTTGGTCTTCTCCAAAGAGGCACACTTGGAGTTCACAGCCTCAATGGATTCCTCAGCCTCCTGCAAGCGCTGGGCAAGCTTTTTCCTGGATTAAAAAGGTGTGTTGTTTCGCAAGAACTCATGATAAAAATGACACATAATTAAACTGAGACATTCATTATGACTCACTTGGCCTCCTCCAGCTCCTCAGTGCGCTGGATGGCATCAGTCTCATATTTGGACCTCCACTGAGCCACCTCACTGTTGGCCTTAGACATGCCTCTCTGCAGCTCAGCTTTGGCCTCCTGCTCCTCCTCAAACTGCTCTCTGAGCAGATCACAGTCATGGCGGGCTGACTGAACAGCATGGGCCAGGGCATTCTTGGCCTGGACAACACAAAGTTGAGTGTGTAATGATTTGTCAATTGACCTCATCATACA